TTGACTGTTCCTTTCCTCCAGATGCTGCCTGGCCTGCTGTGTTCTTCCAGCCTCCTGTTTGTCTACCTTGCATTCCAGCATCTGCAGTATTTTTTTGTCTCTGGAGATGAGAAGGAATCCGTTTTCTCTGAAAAATTCCCTTCCCCAGAGATCACAGAAGGTGGACACTTAATATATTCAAGGCTGAGTAGGACAGACTTTTCATTGGTTATGATGGACAAGTAAGAAAGTGGAGTTGGGACCACAGTCAGATTAACTATCATCTTATTTAATAGCAGAGCAGGTTCAATGGGCTGAATGGCCTATTCCTGCTCCTATATCTTACAGTCCTGTAACCATAATATAATTATTCTAAAATTACATTCAACAGTTCCATTATTAATGCCAGCAGGTCTTGCATTCACGTAACGCAAGCAGAAATTTCAAAATTGGAAGCAAACTTTGTTATAATCGGCATCTTATGAATTGGCACATTTTATAAACCGGCAAAAATTATACACCTCAAATATCGGAAGTTTACTGTATTCTTGTGATCTCCACAATGTTGGTTGAGGGTGTGAGAGAGAATTCTCTTCACCGGTAAGTTTTATTTAAGGCTAAGCTGCACCATTCTTTCGGTGATTTATACCGCAAATAAAGTATAACAGTGATGTGTGTATGTCCTGCATTACTTTGTGTGTGTTTTGACATTGATTATGTGGGCCTCTTGATCAACTGCAAGGTTTAATCCACCAGTACACTCCCGGCCCCACAGGTGCCGGTTAGTAAAAAGTTTGCCGTATTGCAAAAATGAGCAAAGGAAAATTACTTCAACCTTAGGGATTCCTGGACTGAACCACTTCATGTAATTGTTGATTTGTTTGAAGACAAATCCTCTGTCCATCAATGAGAAGCATCTCTGTAAATTATGAATGCGGAGAAGACAAATAATCAGCTTTTGGAAAATTAGTGTCCCTACAGATGTGCTGACCCCACACCCCCTCCACTAACATATCGTCTAAAGATTATCAAAATGCATAGAGTTGGTGTGACGCAACCAATACACTCCCAAATAATTGATCACATTGTCACTATTCTTTGTCTTGCTTCTCTATGCAACCACTCATTTACACGGCATATTTACACAATGAAATACCTCAAGGTACACTGTAGAGTGATGTATGGTACTGAGTTACACGAGGGGATTTCATATGAAAAAAGCTTGGTCAAAGAGTTTTTTTCTTGAGGAGAGGGGGGAAGTGATGTGGCAAGGCAGAGAGCTGGAGGGTGGAAATTCCAGAGGTTGAGATCTAGGCAGCCGAGGGTGCAATTAAAATCAGGAAATGCTCAAGAGGCCAGAATGTGGGGAGTGCAGAGATCGCTAAGAGTTGTCCAGAAGGATAAGTTATTGAAATATGGATGGATGAGGCCAGGATTTGAACACAAGGATGAAAATTTTCAAGTCATGACTTTGCTTGACCAAGTGCCTACATTGTGGGTATTAATCTATGCTACAGCCCAACGCCTGCCCATTACTGTAGAAAATCCTAGGTGCAATTGAATGAGTAATGCACAAGAGGACATGTATGAGATCCCTGGTTAATTCATTGGTATGGTACAGCTAAACACACAATCACTCAGGAAAAGGCATAAAAGATGACCATTTTCACTCCCCTTTTTTTAATTCTGGTTGATTTAATAGAATCCCTACAGCGTGGAAGCAGGCCATTCAGGCCACAGACACTCAGAACAGCATCCCACCCAGAGTCACCACAACGCCCCCATCTCTGTAACTCTGCATTTCCCATGGCTGATCCAGCTAGCCTGCACACCCCCAGACATTAGGGGCAATTTAGTATGACTAATTCACCTAACCTGCTTATCTTTGGACCAGAGCTCCCAGAGGAACCCCACAGAGAGAGTGTGCAAATTCCACACAGGCAGTCATCTGAGGGTGGAATCGAACGCAGGTCGCTAGCACTGCGTAATACAGCAGTGCTAACCACTGAGCCACCGTGCCACCTGATCTCAAATTTGAGTTGTATTTCAATTCTAGCTACATCCCTTGGCTTTGTAACATGTTTCTAGTTTTGCCTAACTATATACTGATCTCAGATTTAAAATTTCCAATCAAGGAGCATTTCCTAATGGGTTCATTAATAGGTTACAAAGTGATGGCAACTGAACACTCAGGGGCGCTGCAGATTCCTCATTTCCAAATTTTCACCAAACCTTCCCTGAAAGGGGCAATATTCCAAAGATACACGATGAGGCCAGTTCAGCAATGTGCCTGTGAACAAAGGTCATATTTGAAAGTCATCATCTTTGGCTGCAGCCTCAACCCCAAATTCTGGCATGTTCTACTCAAAACCCGATCCTTGTATCGAATCACAGCAAGTGCAGCACAGAATGAGGCCACTCAGCCCGTTGGTTCTGAGCCGGCTCTTCTGAAATGCTATCCAGCTGGTCTCACACCACCCTTCCTTCCACATACCCTTATTTTTTCTGACGTGGGCTGGGGTGAAAAAAGTCAGAAGTCACACGACACCAGGTTATAGTCCAAAAGATAAAGGGACCTGACGAAGAAGCAGCGCTCCAAAAGCTTGTGATTTCAAATAGACCTGTTGGACTATAACCTAGTGTCATGTGACTTCTGATTTTACCTTTTCTACTTCAAGTATTTACGCACTTCCTTTTCAAAAGTAACCACTGAATCTGTATCCACCAGACAGCGGGCAGTGCATTCTAAATCAAAGCCACTTTTTAGGTTAAAGAAGATTTTCCTCATGTAGTCCCTGATTCCCCTTTCAATCACCTTAACCCTGTGTCCTTGAATAATCAACCATTCAGCCATTGCAGACAGTTTCTCTTCATCTTTAAATCTCCTCTTAATAGCTCTAAAGAGAACAGGTTTTCAGTTGCTGCCACACCTTTTCATCCAACCTTCCTTGACATCTAAGTTTTATTTTGTGTTGATGAAGTGGTTTATGAGACAAAAGGTGCTGCCCAATGTGAAGAGCAGTTGAGCCACTTCAAACCAAAGAACAACCCGAACAAATACAGAGACACACAGCTTTTCACCAAGTTCATGCAAATGGGCAGCAAGAAACCAAATGATAAAAAGCATCACGTAGTAATGTTACTGCGCAGGTAACTGTATACGTCAGCTCGAATCCCATCCTTTAAATTAAACTCCGTTAAATCACCCAGAATGAAAGGCTCCTACCAGTAACGTTGACCATGATCCTATCTGATACAGAAAAGCCATCTGGTTAACTAACAGTGGCTCAGTGGTTAGCACTACTGCCTCACAGTGCCAGGCCCAGGTTTGATTCTAGCCTTGGGCCACTGTCTGCATCGAGCTTGCACGCTCCTCCTGTGATTGTGTGGGTTTCCTCCCACGGTTCAAAGATGTGCAGGTTAGGTGGACTGGCCATGCTAAATTACCCCCAGCGTCCAGAGATGTGCAGGGTAGCTGGATTAGCCATGGGAAATACATGGTTACAGGATGTGGGTGGGATGCTCTTCAGAGGGTCAGCATAGGCTCAATAGGCCAAATGGCCTGAATCCACACTGTAGGCGTTCTAGAAGGAAATCTCCTATACTCACTTGGTCAGGCCTACTCGTGACTCCACACCCCCAGAAAGGTGATCAACTTTTCACTGCCCTCTGAAATGACTAAGCCTGGCGCCAACTTATTGGGCTGGTTTTTAGAATAATCAGTATTTACACGGTCCAGGTATACAGATGATCTGAGCTTTTTAAATTTTACGGATTTATTCACCTAACTGAATTTAAGCTTCCCATTTGAACTCATGTTTCCATATCTGTCGTGCCCTAACAACATAACCACACTGCTTTTATAACTTGACCTTACTAAGACAAGAGCAGAAAGGTGCTGGAAATCTGAAATAAAGGGAGAAACTGCCGAACACATCCAGTGGATGCAGTAGCCTCTGGGGAAAGAGGAACAGCACGAATATGGCAGATTCTGACTAAAGGAATCAGCCTGCAGCCTTAACCCCATCTCTCCTTCTCCAGATGCTGTGTGACCTTCTGTGTATTTCCTGCAACTCCTGTTTGCATCTTAGGGACATTCCATTATTGTGGAATATTCAGGCAGAGCTTTTTGGATAGACAGACAAGTTGGAACCGAGTCAGATGCTGCAAAAGGGAACAACTGTGACGAAGATCCAAATACCACAAACAATAGGGTGAAAAATAATTTGTCAAAAGGTTTAGTCGACAAAATTTCACTGTCCGTTCACTGGATTTCCACAATATTTGCTGAGGAAGTGAAAAATTGTTGAATACATTAACAATTGCCTCTGATCACGCATGCATTTAAAATTCACTTTGCTTTTCAAGATCTCAGGCATTTAATATCTAACCAGAAACATGAAAAGGCAAACTGATACAGGGGGTTAGCTCTGACAACTTTTACCTTAATGAAGACAGCAAGGCTGTGATTTGCATTCCGAGCCTCCTCTGGCTTATCTTTGTATTTCTGAGTGATGTGTGGCATTAACAGATTGACAAGGGTTTCCACAGTGTGCTGGTAAGAAGCTGGGAAACGCTGATTCCGGAATAACTAAAGAAACCAGAAAATGACACCGACCTTTTAGAACATCATATCAATAACTACAGCTTGGATTGAGCACTTTAAAAATATCTCGCGCTTATTCTTAGATTCTCCAAGGCTTTTCTCCTCCTTATCTTTGCAATCTCTTTCAGCCTCAGCGTCCCTCTCTGATCTCTCCCCTCCTCCAGGTCTGGTCTCTCGAGCATTTTCACTGATCAGGCAATGATGGCTGTGCCTTCGACAGGATTCTCTCATTAAACCTCGTTTCCCCCTTTTAAGATGCTTCTTAAAGCTTTTCCTTTTGACAAAACCTTTGCTCTGCTGTCTCCAAAATTTGGTGACATATTTTGTTTGAGAAGCCTTCACAGTGATGTACCTTGGGGACATTTTTTTTGTTAAATGCACTATGCAAATATGAATTATTACTAGCTACACTACAAACTACTCATATTTTGGAGCAAAAGACTTACACTTAATTCAGGAATTACTAGGTACGTATTTGAATAGGAAAATCAGAAAAGTCCATTGATATAAGAGAATGGATCATTCTTTGTTTCAATTCTTTCATAGGTTAATGGACACCAGTGGCTGGATCAACTTTAATTTCCTATTCAGAACTGCTGTTGAGAAGGAGGTAGTGAGCTGCCTTCTTGAATCATTGCAGATCATGCAGTGAAGGTACCTCTAACGTGCTGTTAGGAAGGGAGTTACAGGATTTTGATCTAGCGACAGTGATAAAACAATTCAACTGAAACTGCTGGGAAGCGTAGAAAGATCTTTATTCACATCTGGTTGCAGAATTTATTACTGAAAAACCAAACAAAATAACGGCACAAGCCTGGTTTGTAATTTCTTTACTGCTCTTCAGTGGGTCGGTTCAGACTGTATGGGCCGAGTGGCCTCTTTCTGCACTGTAGGGATTCTAGAATCTCAAGGTGTCTCAAAGTGTTTTATCCTAAGAAACAGGAGGAGTAGGCTCATCCTTCTAGTCTTCTCCATCCTGATCTAAAAGGTCCTGATTGATTTGATCGGGACAGTAACCCCATTTTCTTGTCTGTCCCACACAATCCTTGACGCCTTTGTCTAACTTGGCTGTGAATACATCAAATGACACAACTTCCACCATGGAAGAGAATTCCAAAGGCTAAGAACCCATCCAGAGAAAGCGCTATTTCTTATCTCATAAAAGGGGGACCCCTCGTTTTGAAAGTGTGTCCCTTCATTCTAGTTTTGCACGTGAGAGGAAAATCAGCTTCTCAGCATGTACTTTGTCAAGCCCAGCGAGAGCCTGCTTGCACATTTCAAGGAGATCACTGTTCCCCCAAACTTCACTGAGTATAGGGTCAACCTTCCCAACATTCCCCATCAGACAGAAAACAAACAGTCATTCAAACACTTTTGGAGGTGTAGTCATTTTTGTAATGATGATAATGTGCGCAGCAGATCATAAAAACATCAATATGATAATGATCAGGTAATCCGTTTTTCTAGTAGTGCTGCAGCGTTGAGAGGTGACCTTATAGAGGTGTACAAAATCATGAGGCGTATAGATAAGGTGAATGGTTGGTGTCTTTTCCCTGGGGGATTTCAAGACTAGGGGACATTTAAAAGCGAAAGGAAAGAGATTTAAAAGACACTTGAGGGGAAATTTTTTTTACACAGAGGGTGGTTTGTGTCTGGAATGAATTTCCAGAGGAAATGGTGGATGCAGATACAGTTACAACATTTAAAAGAAACTTAGATAAGTGCATGAATAAGAAAGATTTGGAGGGATATGGACCAGGAGCAGGCAGGTGGGACTAGTTTAGTTTGGGATGATGTTCGGCATGGACTGGTTGGACCGAAGAATCTGTCTCCGTGCTGTATGACTCTATGGTGATGCTGGAATACAGATATATATTAGCTATAATTCCACAGATAACTGCGCTGCTATTTTTCAAAATAGTGCCAAAAATTCTTTGTTTCATTTATTCACGGGATGAGGGCGTCACTAACCAGGCAGCATTTATTGCCCATCCCTAATTGCCCAGAGAGCAGTTAAGAATCAACCACATTGCTGTGGATCTGGAGTCACAGGTAGACCAGACCAGGTAAGGATGGCAGTTTCCTTTCCTAAAGGACATTAGTGAACCAGATGGGTTTTTCCTGACAATCGACAATGGATTTATGGTCATCATTAGACTGTTAATTCCAGATATTTATTGAATTCAAACTCCACCATCTGCCATGGTGGGATTTGAACCCCGGTCCCCAGAATGTTACCTGGGTCTCTGGATTAGCAGTCCAGCAATAATACCACTTGGCCATCGCCTCCCCCTATAGGGTCTGTGTAAAAATAATTTCCCCTCATGTGTCTTTTAAATCTCTTTCCTTTCACTTTCATATGTCCCCTAGTCTTGAAATTCCCCAGTGAAAAGAAACCAACCATTCACCTTTCATAACCACCTGAGGGGGCTAATGTTTAAAGTCTCATCTGAAAGACAGAGCAGCATTCCCTCATTTCGGCACCACCAGTGACATCCTGGATACTGTGCTTCACTCCCTGGATACCCCTTGAGACTTGAAACCCACCACATTCCAAATCGGGACATTTTAGTGGCTGTATCTCCCATTTCCTCACCTGTGGTTTCAAACTACTTGCTTCACTCACACACAACGGCACTCAACCATTGCAAAACAGAAGCAATGTGAGGCACCACAATATTTCACTTTTTCAGTTTGCAGTGGCAGGCAGTTTACTGATGAGTGGCTAGTCAGGAAAAAGAAACACAAAGCAGATGTAGAGAAATGTCTGAGATACTTGGTAAACAGCCAAAAAGAAATGGAGTGTGCAAACATCAGATTAAAGGTATGTATTGAAAAAGAATTAACACAGCTTAATAGCTCTGAAACATCTAATTTGGTGGTTGTATCGTGGTGATAAATATTAAGCTCAGTATGACTGGCAAAAATGAACACAATGTAGTATTGAAACAAACTTTTCGGCTCAACAGATCTAAGTCAGTGGTTACGATCTCTACAATGCTGCTTCTTCTCCTACTTCATCTTATCCTATCAATGTATCCATTTCTCCCTCAGCTCGTCATTCATTCAGCTTTCCTTGAGCACATCTGTACTAATGATCTCTACCAAGCCCCATGGTTGAGAGTTCTACACTCTCCTCATTCTCTGGAGAAAATGATATCTCCTGAACTGCCTCTGGATCTGTTAGTGACGATTTAGTTTTGAGTTTCTTCGCAAGTAGAAACAATCGACTCCTTCAGAAATTGTTTCAAGCAAAATTCTTACCAAATTTGTGACAATATATGACAATATATTCTTTAAATAATTCTAAAGTATTCACCTCTACCACCTTCAGACTTTATATGAACTGAATGTCTTGAGAGCCTATGCTCTCTCATCCCATTGGAATTCAGCTTGAACCTACTTCAGATTTACCAATTAGTCTTGTGTATATCCCCATTCAGTTTCCTTTTACTTTGTCTAGGCCTTTAACATAACACAGTTTTCCAATACTGAACTGAATTGTACACTCGTCTCCTGAGCTTGAACATCTCATAGAGGTGTATAAAATCATCAGGGGTATAGATAAGGTGAATGGTTGATGTCTTTTCCCTGGGGGATTTCAAGACTAGGGGACATATTAAGGTTTAAAAGACACATGAGGGGAAATTTTTTATTTTACACAGAGGGTGGTTTGTGTCTGGAATGAACTGCCAGTGGAAACCAGACAAAAGAACTGAAAGTGTTGTCTCTTCTTGGAAAAGGCTAGCAGCAAACACTTTGGTCAATGCAGAATTATTCCTAAATGGATTTCAGAGGCAATTGTAAAGGCTATTATCTTTCTTTACTCTTTATTGGGGAATATTTATACAGCAAGGATATTGTTTGTCATCCTTCTTGAACTTTTGCAATCCACCTGGGGCTCGCAGTGCCAAGATTTTGACCCACTGACAGTGAAGGAACAATGATATATTTCCAAGTCAGGATGGCACGTGATTTGGAGGGGAACGTTTAGGTGCTGGTGCTCCCATGCATCGGCTGTTCTTGTCCTTCTAGGTAGCAGGGGCTGCAATTTCTGAAGGTGCTGCCAAAGAAGCCTTCATTAGCTGCTGCAGTGCATCTTGTAATTGGGATACACTGGTGTTGTTCTCCATCAGTTGTGGAGGGTTTGAATGTTTAAGTTGGCGAATGAGGTGCTGATCAAGTAGGCTGCTTTGTCTGAACAATGCCAAGCTTTCCGTGTGTTAGTGGGACAGCACTGAAACTGACCCTTCGGTCCAACTCGTCCATGCCAACCATATTCCCAAACTAACTAGTCCCACTTGCCCGGGTTTGGCCCTTATTCCTCCAAACCTCTCCTATTCATGTACTTATGTAAATGTCTTCTAAATGTTGTAACTGTATCAGCAACACTCTGGCAGTTCTTCCATGCACAAACCACTCTCAGTGTAAAAACGTTGCCTCTCATAATCCTTTTCAAACCTTTCTCTTCTCACCTTAAAGATGTGCCCCCTAGTTTTGGACTCGCCCACCCTAGGAAAAGACCCTTGCAATTCACCTCACTCATCCACGCACTCCTTACAATATGAAGGATGGATTCTGATGAGTCACGATATGAATTACCCATTGTAGAAATGCCAGCCTTTAATGTGTTTTAACAGAGCTAACAAATGATGTAATAATCAAGAAAGAAGAATATTTCACCATAAAATGACTTGCATTTATATAGCACCATTGACATAATAAAACATTTCAAAGTGCTTCATAGGAACATGGGCGAACATAATTTGATGGTGAGTCACACGAGGTTGAAATTAGAACTGCTAACCAGAAGTCTGTTCAATAAGGTCGGTTTTAAATAAAGCCTTTGAGAGAAAGACGGCAAGAAGTTTAGGGATTAACTTCCCAAGCTTACAGCCCAGGACGGTGGAAGTGCAGTTGCCTGTGGTCGGTGATACTAAAGAGGCCAAAGTTGGAACAGCACATGAGATTTTGGAGGCTGTAGGGATGCAGGATGATACAGGCAATGGAGGAAACAGACTGCAATTATGAGATTTCGGATAGTGCAAGTGGAGTTCTGGATGAACTTGATTTTAAACAGCCTAAATAATTAGTTAACAACATTCATTTTAGCCTTAAGTATTGACACAGTTTATAGAAAAATTCTCCAACACATTAATAACTAACAGACGGATGCTCACCTTCAGTTTGCTGGTTTCTGTAAGATGTTGGGCCATTGATTTGATCAGTGCCTCCAGAAAAAACCAAGAATACTGAAGGCAAAGAAAAACTTTTCTTAGTATAAAGGACACAATCTGAAATATGCATCAAACAAGTGAGGAAAATGCATGTACAAAGACAAAAGATGACCGCACTGTCAGAGAAGTGGCATTGTGCTCAAGTTACTGTTCAGTTGTATCTATTAAATTCATCCTGTGTTAATGAACACGCTCTCCTTATTTTTAAATGAAGTAACACAGAAAATCCCAATGGAATCACTTCAACTTTCGGTGTGCACACTCATCTTGCAGCTTGACTCTCACTGACTGCTTGTTATATCACATTTACGGCATAGAAGACAATTTGGCCCAAAAGGTCCATGCTGGTTTTTAACAATTCACAAGAGGCTTGTCCCACCTCTCTTCATTTCCATCTATCAACATCTCCTTTTTCCCTCATTTGCTCATTCATCTTCCTATTGAATCGATTTCTGTTATTCACCTCAACCAGTCCCTGTAGTAGTCATTTTCACAGCTTCACTGTGCTCTGGGGAAAAATAGTTTGTCCTGAAACCCTGCTGTATTTGTTAATGACTTAATAACGCCATAAGGATACTAGAAGTAGACTTTGGAATTAAGTAAGAAACAGTGCGTTAAAATACTCTCTCAACATCCATGAGTGATAACAAAGTCAGTAATTAATTATATAGGTCTCCAGCATCAAACTTATTCTTTAATGCTCTAATGTGTGAAGAAGCTGTCCAATCATATATGTATTTTGCAGCACAGGAACAGACCCTTCAGCCCGTCAAGTCTATGTTGGAGTCTATGTTCTATTCGAGACTGCTCCTACCCTTCTTTGTCTCACCCTATCAGCAAACAGCAGACAGCAGGAACAAAATCATGCGTATTTGAATTGAACTGAATTAGCTTTATTGTCACATTTACTCACATGAGTACAGTGAAAAGTTTACAAATCACCACTTACAGCACCATCTTAGGTACAAAGGTACCGAGATACAGATTCGTGAGTACAAATTCTTCGGAAAAAAAAATAAATAACAAGTTCGAAATAACAGTCCTTCCACAATTGTATAATAAAAGAAAAAAGAAGAAATTTTAAAAAAGAGAATTTAAGGCAAAGTCTACTTAATCCATTTCATGGCTACGTGCTCGAGCCACAACTTTAAAATGTCCCAATTTAAGAGCTTTCAACAGGAACAAAAGTGTTGCCAGAATCGGCAAGAATTATTTGAAAAAGGAACAAGCTGTAGTGCTTTTTTAATCCCAGCACAATTTCACAAAACAATAACTAACACAAAACCGATTAAACAACAATCTGAGGACAGTAAGCACATGGTCTGGCTTGCTGACGTGGCTTTACACATTGAAATTTGCAAACCAGCTAAGAGATTTCTACAAAATAAGAGGGATTTAACTTTAAGCTACCTTGAGCAGTTTGTTACAGGTCAGAAAGTCGGCCGTTGTTTTCAGCAGAACAGTCATGGATTTAGTTAACTCCTCATGTACTGTCTTGCATTTGGAGGAGTTGCAGGGTTCTGTTTTGAAGACAAACTAGGGGGAGCAACAAAGAGTTAAGAAGCAAGAAAGGATCCATTAGTGCTTGTCGATTATATTATCCTCTGATAAAAAAGACTCATGCTGACAGCAATGTAATTAGCAAAATTTATGACTTGCATCAAATCAGGATTAGACTTAACACTAAAATCCATTAGAACTACAAATTGGTGTCAAGCAAAACAGAAAAAGATTCCAGATATGCCATTCTCTGAACAAAATAAACGTTGAAGTTAATGTTCACGGCAGAAAAAAAGGACTGAAAGACTTGCATTTTTATATATGTTTTAATTTTAAATGTCAGAATGGCTGACCTGTTCCTTAAAATGTAACCAGTTGACCTGCAAAGCCTGTATTTGCTCTTGTTCATTAGAATATACCAGCGTAGCTGTTTTGGAATCACTACCATTGACTAGATAACACATTTGGTAAATGTGAGGATAAGTCATCTGTGGCATTTGAACAGGATGCAGCTCTGTCATTGGGAACTGAGTTCCAGTTTAAAAGACTTCAGTATAAAAACTGTTGACGACTGGGTCAAAAATAAACAGAATACTTAGCTACAAGGAAAAGGAGGAGGCTGTACAACCCCTTGAGCATAATTCTGACATTCAATTATACCATCTGCACCTTAAATCCATTTAATCCTGTAGAGATTGGAACTAGCTGGATCATGTTGACTATGAGATCCTTGATTGGGGTTGTTAACCTGAGCCAATCAGGAAAGCCCTGGCTGATCAACATAACCAGGAGTTTAGAATCTCCTCAGTTCAGGAGACTGACTCCGAGCTGGCTGGTCACAGCCAGTGTACTGCGCACAAGTAAATAAAGGGTGACTTGGTGATGGGATACCGGCCTCTGTACAGTTATTTCAAATCCATCACATTGCGTAACCATTACCAACTGAAATCTATCAATTCTCACAGTTTGTGGAGGTTCAAACACCATCCCTTCTCCAACCCACTCCAAACTTGAATAGATTTTTGCGGAAGAGAAATCCAGATTCTAACTGCACTTTGTGTGGAGAGGAGCTGCCTAACATCATCCCTGAGCAGCCTAGCTCTAATGTTAAGATTCTGCCTCTTGCTGTGGACCCCACCCAAAATCCACGAGACAAGTCTCATCAGACACTTCGATCATCTGAAATATTTCAATTAGATTGTCTCCTATACTTGAGCAGTACACTAATAGGGGAATCAAAAACCGATTTGATTAAATATTTGCCAAGTTAAAAAGGCCTTCAACCAGGCATACGCCTCAGCACTCTGAGAAGTAGCCAAACAATACAGCACCCGATTTCACAGCAAAACTCCTTGTGGCAATACTTCAGCTAGTTTAAAAATCTTTGCAGCTTCCCACATTGAACCAGATTAGCTGCACGCGAATGCGCACCAGACCATTGTGGCTTGGCGTTTTTCAGTTTGAACATCTTCCAGCACCGTGCCTGTTAACAAGTTACTCGAGGAGCTTAATGGGCTGTTAATTGGAGGTCAGTGGGTTCTACCCTCATCTGGAAAACCATGTCACGTCAGGAGATGTTAGGATCCAGTGAGGTCCCCAGAAATGTACATTTACATAAGGACAGACCCCCCCGCTCAACCCCTCCTGCAACTGATAGTTTAGCCCTTTTCTGGGACAAGGAAAAATGAAAACGACTTAACAACGCCTGTTAGCTCAACTGCGGAAAAAAATTCAAAATATCAAAACTAAAAGAGGAAAACAATTGTGCCGATTTAACTAGCTGTTCCACTGCGTTCACACATCATTAAATGTGGTGGTTGCTTCATCAGATGTACCTTGATGTAGGATCGCAGGTAGTACTCCAATCCTTCGTGACACTGCGAGACAATGTGTACAAGAACTCTAGGAAGAGAAATTCCATGATATCAATGATTAGCGCGGAAACAGAGGCTGACCACAGCTTGAATACAAAAGCAAAATACTGTGGATGCTGCAAACCTGAAATGGAAACAAAAAGACGTTGAAGACACTCAGCAGATTGGGCAGCATCGAGGGAAAGAAAAATAAAACAAAAACAGAATTCTGTTTCTCTCTCCTCCGATGTTGCCTAATCAGCTGAGTATATTCCACACGGGCAGCCCTGTGAATTAGTGATGACAGCTTTCAATATCCTACATGTGTGAGAGAAGAGGAGATAGGAAAAGATGAGTGGGACTGTGAGAAAGTGAACATGCAAAAGACGGAATGAACAAGAAAACTTGTAAGCCCATAGTGAAAGAATGAGAATGAGAAACTGACAGGAAATAAACTGTTTGCCAATACATACTCACTGGCATAAAATTGAGGTCACCGTATAACTAAAGGGATAGAAGATTTGTGTGTACTGACTGCACTTAGACCCATCTCCCAGAAATAAAATGACATCTGTGTTTTATCCACATCCACTTTTGAAATTCTGCACCATCGTTTTAAGCGCTCAGCACAGATGGTTCATATGTCACTGCACAGCCAATATTGTATGAGCAATTAGTACTTTTGTAGAACCAACTATTTATTTTAAGAGATTTGACAAAATAGTGTTAAAAAGATCCAAGCCAGATATGCAGAATGAAATTAGACATAGACACTTCCCATGACTGTAGGTTGATTCAGACAGCAGCGTTACAGATCTTTCTAATCAATCTGCTAAAGCATGTTATGGCACACCTCTGGGGTAGGTGGGACTTGAACCCAGGTCTATCTGGCTCAAAGGCAGTGTGACATTACCAGTGCACCACTAGCCCTAAAACTGCACTAGGTGAGGTCTGAACTCTTAACCTCAGTATCTCACATGCCTATACACTGTTATATAAATACTGTGAGCTGACCAACGGTGCCACTAGAGTGACAAAAACCTGCTGCAACTGGTATTCACAGGTAGTCTCCCATCCAAGCACTAAGAGGCTCAAGTCTGCTTAGCTCCTAAGCTCAGGCATTTTCCAGACTGGCACGGCTATAAGCAAGAGCCAAAGTACATATTGCTGCCTCAAATCTGCAAACGTAGTGATCTACAGGCTCTGTTTACAATTTAATTTTTTTTTTAGTTGAACCTATTTTTCTAATCAACCTGTTCAGAGATGTTATTACACACCTCTGGAGCAGGTGGGAATTGAACCCAGAACTCTCAGTCCAGGGTAGGGACACTACCACTGCGCTACAAGAGGCCCCCAAAAACCTGCCTTTACTTGTGCGCTGCCCAGCTCAGATATACCAGATAAGGCTCTCTGTATACGCACTCCAAGTTCGTAATTAATTCGTATCTTCTACCTGTGGGTCTTTAACAACATAGTTAACCTACTATTAACAAATAGCAGCTCTTCAAAATATGCTTTCAAAGATGTTTTTCCGCAAAGCTACATCTCAGTGATAATTACTGTTCCTATTGTTAACATTCATTCTGTAAGATTTCATCAAATACACGGTTTAGTTTCAAGTATTTTGAAGCAACAGCCTTCAAAATAAACGATCAGTGCCTATATGTTTAATTACCTTGTAACATTAACTGCAACATCCTCTTGTGTGGCCCTTGCAAGCACACGAAACAACTGGTTCAGGATTGTGGGTAGGAAATTGATCATCACATGGCCTTCCATTGCATGCAAGCTCTGAAGGAAAAGTGCGTTGCAGAATACAGAGGCGTTAATAGAAGTCTTCTCAGCCAATGTGAAACACCCTTATAAAACAGAGTCGTTTGTAATCAATGCAAACTCCCCAAATAACCAGTTCTTGGTGATATACTGCAACACATTTTGCAAATGGTACACAGTGTTGTTACTCTGCACGCGTGGTAAAGGGAATGAATGTTGAAAGAGTTAGACGGGTGCCAACCAATCTGGCTGTTTTATCCAAGATGACATTGAGCTTCTTGAGTGTTGTTGAAGCTGCACCCATCCAGGCATATGGAATTATTCCCTCACACTCCTGACTTGTACAACGTAAAAGGTAGAAAGCTTTAGGGAGTCAGGAGGTGAGTTATTCAGTGCTGCATGCCTAGCCTACTCTTGTAGCTTTGTCTTTTGTTTGCTTGTGGGGGTGACTGAACATAAGGGAGAGAAATTTTATCTATAAATCATAAATTCATCAAATGAAATAGTATCACAGTTTAATAAGGCACACAGGCAATGTGAAGCAGACATAAAAATTCTAAACTAAAAAGCACAATCAACTAGCCAGAAGTGAGTAAAGATGCCTCTCTAAACATCTTTCTTACAAACACTAAGTGACTATTCTGAACCTACTCATTTTATTAGTATTTGCCAGTCATTGCATGCTTCATACCTCATTGTAGAACAAAATAGTGTAAATTTAGTATCTAACAATGCAAGGTGAATGGACTTACCAAAAGGATTACATCAGATACATGGCACAGAAAAAACTATTCGGCCAACTAGCTCATGCCAGTGTTTATGCCCACTCAAGACTTCTCCGCCTGTCCTCATCTAAATCTATCATCTTAACCAACAATTCCCATCTCCTCCCTGTAGCTTCCCTTTAAATGCATCAACACTGTTTGCTTCACCCACAACCTGTGGTAACAGAGTCCACATTCCCACTACAACCTGGATAACAAATTTCTTCTGAGTTCCTTATTGAATTCCTTGGTGATAACCTTAAATTGATGACCTCTGGCTCTGTGCCTCCCTATCAAAGGAAACATTATCTCTGTATCCATTCTGTCCAAACTGCTGTCATTTTAAAGATCACTGTTGGATCAATCTGCAGCCTGCTTGCTTCGAGAGAAAAGTGATCCAGTCTGTCAATCCTGTCCTGTTACATCTACCCACAGAGTTCAGTCATCATTCTAACTGGAATCCGACCTGAAGGAGGTGAAAAATTACCTTGAGGAATTTGACGAGTTCCGTCCCTGAGGCCTGAGCTCCAGAGTCACATTTTTGACAATACTGGAAGAAATTGTTCAAGTGTTGGTCCTGGAAACAAAGGCGAGAGAAAAGGTATTATTGCAAATTGTAAATCTTTCTGTCAAAGAAATCATGCATTCACCCAACCAACAGATATTAGACAGAACGGACAATGTATTTTCTTCAAGCTGAAGTATTTAATAGATTTCTACTAGATTCATTACTTTAGAAAACATATTCCATAAATGAGCATGAGAAAATTATTAATTCATAAATGAAAGAATACAAAAATCATGTATTACTAACTTGTTAAACTATGTCCCGCAATCCTTGTACTATCTATTAATGGAAGTAATCGAAACCTGTTATAATCATATACACCTTTATGAAATCTTCCCTCAGTCTGCCCTGCCCCAAGGAGAACAATCACAGTTTCTCCAAACAAACCTTGTAGCTAAAATCTCTCATCCCTGGATCTGTTCTGATAAATCTATTCTGCACCGTCTCTTAGTTCCTGCTAAAGTGCTGTGACCAGAACTGGATATAATGCAACAGTTGTTGCCTGAACTTAATAAGTTTCCAAACAAAAAACTGAACCAAATTATGGAATAATTTCCGCATGTGAAGAATTGTAAGAAAAACATCAACACTAACCTGAGTGTAGACTGTAGACACAAGATGCGTCGAGACTTTGAAAATATGCTTGGCTCCATCGACCCACTTGATTTCAGGGCCCGAGTGCTGCAAAGTGCAATGACACTATTACCTACAATGGAAGCATACGGTTGGATTTTCCATTCCCCGGCAAAGGGTTTGAAGACAGGAACATGTAAAATCCAGCAGGGCCTACTTGGCCTCCCTGTCTCATAAAAGGTGGAGTTGAGGGAGGTAATGGGCAGTTCACTTACCCTTATGCTGACTAAGGACCTTCATTGGCCAATCACTGGTAACCTAAAATCCTCTCATCCTACTTTCACCCACAGAGAGAGAAGGGGAGACTCACTCTCTGTGGAAAAGCCTGGCTAAGTCGGGGGACATTCCTTTGTGGTCAGAGGCACCTCCAACAAGAGGAATTCCTGCTTTTAATCCTTCCACTGGCCTCTTGAATCAAGCCTTAAAGTAATGAACCTAGCTCCCCACATTAAATTGCTGCAGGCTAGACTTTATGATGGTGGGCAACTTCCCCATACCATGCAAAAATCCAGCTCATGGAACTACTCGAGTTAGATTCAAAGCCCATGCGTCACACGTTTTCATCATAATCCCAGTTTGTCCCAACCCCTCAATATTCCCAACTCTTTGATCATGCTCAACAGACCAAAACAATACAGTTCTGGACAAGTACAATAGCCAGTCTTACAGTTGGGAAGAGGTAAGTGAGCAAGGGTTCCCATGTTCACCAGACAGCTGTCAAATTAATTTCAATAAATCCTACTTTTTAATGCGATTTGGCCCCAGAATAAATGACAACCAAAACGGAAACACTGTTGTTAATACCCAACTGATCTCTTCAGGTTCTCATGGTACCAGATTTAGCAAACAGTCCAATCTAGGTGATACCACACCCACAGAATATTAAATGACAATTGGTCTATGCTGGTTTTCACACTCCACATGAGTCATCTTCCAATCTTTTCATCACACCTTGTCAATATCATCTGTCTATTCCTTTCTCGCTCATTGTTTATCCAGCTTCCCAATAAAACTATTAAGTTCAATCACTCCCTGTGGTAGCGAGTTCCACATTCACACCACTCTTTGGCTAAAGAAGCATCTCCTGAATTCCTTACTGGATCTAGTTGTGACTATCACATCATCAGAGTTGTTAGTTTTCAAATCCTGACAGCCAAACCTGACTTTTCCAATGTCTGCTTGCTATTGGAGCGATATGCATTTTGAGCGCTTGCAGTTTGTGTTTTATCACTGTTACTTCAATACACATTTTGTAAACAGAAATCGACCTGTTCTCAATTTTGACCATTTGACATGCACTGTATCTACAGAGTGCAGGTTGTTTAGTGAATCCTGAAAAAGGATCTACAAAGACATTTGAAAGCACACCATTAACCCAAGCAATATTCTCCACATTAACCAAGTAAACTTATGAAAAATATGCGCCATGAGGTTTTCTTATTCCATAGAATTTATCGCAAAGAAAAAGGCCATTCAATCAACCGGCCCATACTATTATTTACGCTCCATGAGACTCCTTCCAACTTGATTCCTTACACCTTATTTGCATAATCATCTATTCTTCTCTCCTTACATGTTTCTTTAGTTTTGCCTTTAAATACATCAGTGTTATGCACATCAACACCCTAATATGTTCTAAATAATCTCAGAGCAAACAGGTCCCTCCTAAATTATTTTAAACTGTTCTCACCCACTTGATCCCTCAGGGAGCAGAAAAGGAACAGATTATGTGAACATTTAATGTATTAAACAGGGAGCCATAAACAGATGTAGAAGATATCAGAAAGAGTAAGAACTGCCGATGCTGAAGTCTGAGATAACACAGCGTGGAACTGGAGGAATACAGCAGGCCAGGCAGCATCAGTGGAGCAGGAAAGTTGATGTTTCAGGTCGGGACCCTTCTTCAGAAATGGGGTTTATAAAAGATATCAGACATGGACACCACAGGATCAGATATGAACAGCCAATGTACTCCAATAGCTACTGCTCACATGCAGCAGAACAAACTGACTGTGGCATTGTACAAACTCATCAGTCATTCAAATGATGGCCAAAGGTGAGAAACTGAGCTTACCTTCCCCATTCCCAGTTCCTGGTAACCGAGATAACCCAAAGGAAGATTCGCTGAAACAGGTATCTGATTCTCATTGGTTACAACTCGACCATCTTTCAGTAATGGTAGCCAGGCGTAGCCAACTGCAGGGAAAGGAAACAAGGCTGTTAAAACTACTTGGCCAAAGATCGCACCATCGTTTGGCAAGCCACCAATGCTAGACATTTGCATCAGTGATACAGCATCCAGGAGGGATCACCAACAGCACTGAATTCAGTCAGATTGCAATGGAATACAATCCTTTATTAACCTGAGTGTCAGAGCTGATAAAGATTTAAAGGGGAGAAAGAAATGACACGTCTAGAAATTACGACAATGAATCTGACCTCAAATAAGGAGATTACCGCCAAAGTGACTACATAAAAAATTACACTGAAAGAAACTGAGTAAATATTCAACCTTGTAGTTAGAAAAGAAAGACCAATGCCCAGCTTAATGCATAAGCAAAATTCTGCAGATGCTAGAACACAAAAGTAAAAACAGAAAACGCTAGAAATACTCAGTCAGTCAGGCAGCAGTGGGGAAAAGAGAGTTCACATCCATGACCTTGTATCAACACTCTAGCCACAGATGCTTCCTGACCACCCAGGTATAAATGCAAGACTTTCTTCTCAAACGCAATGCCACGAGCTCAGCTCTTTTTACTTCAAACAAAATGAACTCAGGACCTTGTGATTCAATGGTTTCCCGTTTCTTGGTGGTGCTTTTGCTCGAATTGTCACAACTGACGTGGTAGAATGTGAACAACAAGTGATGCTTCTCATGTAGCTGGGTTGGCAGCTCCACCTTAATCTGAAATGCAGACAAAACAGAATTGAATATCATCAAAAAGAAGCTCATATTGCCTTAGCTTCTCATCTTACACGCATCAGGAGAAATGCAAGAATGCCAGATGTCAAACAATCACAACTTACACTGCAGGAGAGCAAAGGTGCTGATTTGTTAAAAACTCAACTCTAATTGACCGCGGTGTTACCATGGAGAATGCAACAAGGAATGACAACTTTGCCAAGTCTCCAGGAGAAGGAGAAGGGGAAGAAGATGTGGAAAGGAGGAGTGGAGGAAAGAGGGGTGGTGACAGTCTAGGACCAGAAGACATAATCTCAGAATAAGGGGTCATCCAATTAGGACAGAGATGAGGAGGAGCAGCTAGTGTCCCCTAGGAGGGTTTAAACTAGTATGGCGCACAAGTGGGAACCCAGAGCTGTAGGTCAGCGTGTGGAGTGATTGAGGAGAAGGCAGATCTTAAGTTAAATAAGTCTAACAGGCAGGACCAGGTTAATGAACACGGTGGGACTAGCAGCCTAAAGTGTATTCATTTTAATGCAATGAGTATAACAGGTAAAACAGAATGAGCTTAGATCCTGAGTTAGTACATGGAACTACAATGTTGTAGCCATTACCAAAACTTAGTTGAGAAAAGGGCAGGACCTGCAGCTCAATGTTCCTTGGTTTAGACCTTTCAGGCGAGATAGAGGGGGATGTAAAAGGGGTGGGAGGGTTGCATCACTGATTAAGGAGAATATCACAACTGCACTGAGATAGGGCTAATCCAGCAAGACCACATGGACACAATTTAGGAATAAGAAAGATGTAATTGGTATGATGGTGTTATACTATAGGCCTCCCAACAGAGGAACAGATATGTAAGCAGGTCATGGAAAGTTGTGAATACAAGAGGATTGTTGTTGTGGGTGATTTTAACTTCCTCAGTATTCACTGGGACTCCCTTAGCGCCAGGAGCTTAGATGGGGCTGAATTTGATAGGTGCATCCAGGAGGATTTCTTGAAACAAGATGTAGACAGTCCAACTGGGGAAGGGGCCATACTGGATCTCGTATTGGGAATGAGCCTGACCAGGTGGGGGAGCATTTTGGGTAATTCCAGAAGTTTTAAGATTGTTATGGATAAGGCTAAGTCCTCGGGTGAAAGTGCTAATTTAGGGAAAGCTAATTACAATAGTACTAGGCAGAAACTGGATAAATTAGATGGGGTGGGGTAGCTTTCTGAAGGCAAATCCACATCTGACTATGGGAGTCTTTTAAAGGCCAAATGATCAGAGCTCAGGACCTGCATGTTCCTGCGAGGATGAATGGGTGACAAGGGATATTTAAAGTTTAGTCAAAAAAGGAAAAGGAAACATATTTCAGCTTATTAGAAAACAGAAATCGAACAAGGCCCTCGAGGAGTACAAATGAAGCAGAAAATAACTTAAACAAGAAATTATAAGGGCTAGAAGGGGCCATGAAATCTCCTTGGCAAGTAGGATTAAGGAGAATTACAAAGCGTTTTATACATATATTTGAAGCAAGAGGGTAGGTCCACTCAAGGACAAAAGAGAGAATTTATGCATTAAGCCAGAGGATGTGGGTGAGGTCCTTAATCAGTACTTCACATCAATATTCACCAGGCAGAAAGATATGGATAATGGCAAGTTTAGAGAAGGGTACGTTGATACTCTGGGGCATGTTGATATTGAGAAAGAAGTTGAGATGGGTGTCTTGAAAAACATCAAGTTAGATAGGTTCCCAAGGCCTGATGGGATCTATCCCAGGATACTGAGGAAGACAAAGGAGGTGATTGCTGAGGTCCTGACAGAGATCTATGTATCCTCTTTATAGCCACTGGTGAAGTCCCAGAAGAATAACCAATGTTGTTCCTTTTTATAAGAAGGACAGCAGGGATAATCCAGGAAATTATAGGCCAGTGAGCCTTACATCAGCGGTAGGGAAACTATTAGAGAAGATGTGTAGTGACAGGATTTACTCGCATTTGGAGAAGAATGGACTTATTAGGGATAGTCAGCATGGCTGTATGTGGCAGAGGTCTTCTCACACAAACTTGAGTTTTTTGAGGAAGTGATGATTGATGAGGACAGAGCAGTCTGCAAAGACTTTACTAAAACATTTGACAGGGTCCCTCATGGTAGGCTGGTCCAGAAGATTAAGTCACATGGGATCCATGGTGAGTTGGCCAGTTGGATGTTGGCTTGGTCATAGAAGGAAAGAGGATGATTGTGGAGGGGTGTTTTTCTGACTGGAGGTCTGTGACCAGTGGTCTTCTGCAAGGGATCAGTGCTGGGACTTCTGTTGTTTGTAATATATACATACATATAAATAATTTGGATGAAAATGTAGGTGTCTTATTAGTAAGTTTGCAGACAATACGAAAACCAGAAGAGTTGAGGATAGTGAGGAAGGTTGTCAAAGGATACAGCAGGATATAGATCGGTTGGAAAGTTGGTGAAGAAATGGCAGATGGAGTTTAATCCAGGCAAATATGAGATGATGCATTTTTGGAGGTCAAATGCAAGAGGAAAGTATACAGTAAATGGTAGGACCCTTAGGAGCATTGATATACAGAGGGACCTTAGAGATCAAGTCCATAGCTCCCCAAAGTGGATAAGGTGGTAAAGCAGGCACATGGCATGCTTGCCTTCAACTGTCAGGGTACTGAGAAGTTTTCAAACCATAATGCAGCTGTATAAAACTTAGGTTAGACTACATTTGGAGTATTGCGTGCAGTTCTGGTCGGCACACTAAAGGAAGGATGTTGAGGTTTTGGACAGGGTGCGAAAGAAGTTTACCAAAATGTTGCCTGGATGAGAGTGTATTAGCTATAAGGAGAGGTTGGACAAACTTGGATTGTTTTTGCTGGAGCATCGGAGGCTGAGGGACGACTTGATCAAACTGTATAAAGTTATGAGAGGCTTGGATTGGGTGGATGTTTTGAGTCTTTGTTCCAGGGTGGAAATGTCAAACACTGGGGGTGTGAGTTTAAGATGAGAGGTGGAAAGTTTAAAGGAAATGTGCAAGTAAGTTTGTTTTACACAGAGGCTGGTAGGTGCCTGGGACGCGTTGCCTGGTGAGGTGGTGGAAACAGATACCATAGCAACATTTAAGAGGCATTTAGACAGACACATGAAAGGCAGTGAATAGAGGGATATGGATCGTGTGCAGGCAGATGGGATTAGTTTAGCATGGCATCATGATTGGCACAGACATGATGGGCCGAATGGCCTGTTCCTGTACTGTACTAAGTTCTCTCAGTAGGTAATGAGTCTGTGAATATTTTTTACCACAGAGGACTGAACAGAATATAAGGACTAAATAAAAACCAAAAGAACGGCAGATGCCGTAAATCAGGAACAAAAACAAAGTTGCTGAACTCCTGAAGTTCTGAGGAAGGGTCACCAAACCCGAAACGTTAACTCTGATTTTTTCTTCACAGATGCTGCCAGACCTGTTGAGCTTTTCCAGCAACTTTGTTTTTGTTCCGGAATATAAGGACTGTTCAACGAGCACTGTTATATCACAGAAATATATCGAAGAATGAATATTTAACTTTGGTTTTCGCAACAGTGATCTGGATGAGTATTATCTGTACTTTGTCCATTGTAATAGCCAAATGTCTACTGAAATCAGATTCTAAAATGTAAAGAAATCCACAAGCAGGAGTCCTACAGATCATGTACACAACAGAACTGGAGTATGAATTCGCGATGCATTCCAATATTGTGCCACTTCTTTACCTCATCGTAGAACTCTGGATTTTGATGGTGATGTAACACTACTGTGAAAGCATATTTTGTAAACACAGGACCCCCAGGTCTCCCATAGATACACTAGGAAGAAAAAAAGTAATCACACCAAGTAAGTTAGCATTAGTGTATATTTGAACAAAATACCTACAATCTGTGGCATTTCTAGTTTGGCACCTTGTCAACAGAAAATGGCCAAAATTAATAAACTTACTTAAAATTTCATCAAACCTTATCTGCACAACATGTCAGACACTGAAACAGTTTTGCTGTCCACATTACAAATAGGGAGAAGCAGAATAGGTTGGGGCTATTTTCCCTGGAGCATTGGAGGTTGAGGGGTGACCTCATAAAGGTTTATAAAAATACAAGAAGCATGGATAGGTTGAATAGCCAAGGTCATTTCCCTGGGGCGGGGGAATCCAAAACTAGAGGGCATAGGTGAGAGGGGTAAGATTTAAAAGGGACCTAAGGGTCAACCTTTTCATGCAGAGGGTGGTGCATGTATGGAATGAGCTACCGGATGAAGTGGTGGAGGCTGGTACAATTACATTTAAAAGGCATCTGGATGGGTACGTGAATGGGAAGGGTTTAGAAGGAAATGGGCCAAAAAGGACTATATTATTTTAGGATATTTGGTCGGCATGGACGAGTTTGACTGAAGGGTCTATTTTCTATGACACTATGAGTTAAAGAGGCACGAGAGAAGGTGCAGTCAGGATTCATAAAGGCCTCAAAATTTACAAATGTGTGGCTCTTTTCAAAAAAGATCCAAGAGATGATGTTTCAACATTTGAGGGAGACTAGTCCAAAATTAGAGGAATCAGAAATATAAGATAGTTACTGATTAATACAGTAAGGAATTTAGGAGAAATCTCTCATCTAGACAGTGGTGAGAATGTGGAATTCACTTCCACATGAATTCGGTGAGGAAAATGATATGGTTCCATTGCAGGGAAAACCAGGTAAAAACATGGACCAAGGATAAATAAGATTGTAGTCAATGAAGCAGATTGGTTGAGGCTTGATTGAAGCATTAACTACCAGCAGAGAACAATTAGGGCACCGGTCAGTTTCTGTACAATAATATTTATGTAATGTAGAATGATAATGAACAAAAAGAAGTGTTATTATTATCATCGTTTAATAATCTTCCAAGGAGGGTATTTTTTTTTTATTCAAACAAATCATCTATTTTGCTTTACAAAAAGGAAAATCCTCAAAATCAAAATCAAGACTAACCTTCAGAGGCTGAGAGTCTTCCTCATCACTGTCCCTGAACTCGATGCGGACTGCAATATTTCTTGCCTAAACAAAAATAGAATCTGTTATGTACAGACAACACAAGAAGAAATCGACAGACTAAAATATAACCAGATCCACAACACACAAACTCTCACAACATAATCTCTCACTATTTAAAGGTCAATGGATGAAAATTACAGCACCTTGCAGGATATCAAAATATTCATCTGCCAACCAAATTACAAACACTTGCAATAATATAGCACCTTGAACAGAGCAAAACATGTCAAGGCACCTCACAACAGCAGCATCATAAAACTTGAAAAAGCTATAATTATCAATCCAAGTTTAGCCTATGAAGGTTCCAAACGTGAACAAGCCAAAATGAGGTACAAATCGATTATAACACATGTTTTTGAGCAATTGCACTCACACAAAGCACATCAGATTGGTCAAGTTGCCTGTTATTTGGAGTAAAATTGGTGGTTCGAATCCCACCCGAGTACTTCTGGACATCACCTAAACTGAGACTACAGTGAAATGCTAACAGAGTGCTGAATTCACGTAAATACCAGCCAAATGTAAGCTGCTTAACAAGGCTTCATCATACTGGCCAGAAGGATGCACAAGGAAACCAGAAGTCCCTCACTGACTGGACAAGAATATCCCCCAGCATGAACTACGCCTCAATGGTAGCACATCTAGTCTGAGTCACAAGATTCTGGGTTCAAACCCACTCCAGGACTGGAGCACAAAACTGCAATCTGGGCTGACACTCCAAGGCAGTACCATAAGAGTGCGGCATTGTCAGAGGTGCCAACCGATGGATAAGAAGTTAAATGGAAGGCACATGTGCTTGCTCAGGTGAGCACACACGATTCGGAGATTCGTAGAAGAAATGAGAGCTCTCCCCAGCGTCCTGACCAATACTTATCCCTCAATCAGCAACATATGTTGGCAGGCCTTTATCACATTGCTGTGCAAAAATTAGCTGCCCTGTTTCCTACAATTACACTTCTAAAATACTTGATTGGCTTATAAATTGCTTTAAGACATTGGCACAATATAAATGCAAGTTCTTTCTTTCTTTGAGCACCACCACGAAAGATGGACTTATAACTGGACTGGTAATTTATCTCATCTGCATTTATAGCTTACTGTGCACAAATTGGCTTCCATGTTAGTGTAATTCACACTGGCTATGCTACAATAGTTCTTTGAGACACTGTGAGGATAGAAAGGTGCTATAATCAATAATACTTCCTCCTATGGCATTAAATGCAATTTTAATGAATTAATTTGCTGCTGAAAACACAATTCCACAAAATTGTGATAATATGAATGTAAGAGTACGTGCTCATTGCTGTAACTTTCTCTAGAAAATTGTCCAACTGGAAGCCAATCACCAAAACTGCTGCCATTGAAGAAAATGGAAAACTCCATTTTTCTACAACCTTTCCTGCTCTTAATAAAATTCACATTATTATTGATGAGAATATGTCAAAATAATACATGACACCATTACATCGCAAACCTGCCAAAACACATTTTAACTAGACTGTGCCATATGGGACTTCAATATGGCAATAAACCTTATGAAATCCCCATACATCTTGTGCACATATGTTTCCTGAAATAGAGATTGTTCTTCTTCAACTAAGTTTCAAAATCCAGCACCAGAAACTGATATACACTTAACAGCAAAACACTCAGACCCAAATCAGTGCTGTCTTTGAACCACCTAAACCCCCAATCAGCTCAGATTGTCACTTGTTCAACTGCACCAGACAGAACAAATGGGTCATAAATCCAATCCAGGTCGAAGCCCCATAAGCTGACAGTGAATTGGATGGTAGCTGGGATACAATAATTGGGTTCAGGTTTGATCGACTGGGTTTGGAGTAGAGGGGAGAAGAGTTAGCCAAAAATAGTGGATTCCTCAGCACAGTCCAGTGATCCCTGGTCGACATGGACATCAAGCAAAGGACTGAATTGGGTCTGTTTATGATTTTAGCTTTGAGACAGTGTTGAAAAATACACAAGGGATGATGTGGGTTTTTATTTGGGTCAAGCATCATTACCATTATGATATGGTCTGGATGCCTCCCTATATATGAGCTCATTTAATATATACCATGAAGACAAGCACTTGTTGAGACGGATGCCTTGAAATTCATCGACAATTATTTATACTTAATTATTTATATTTAAGATCTCAGCCTTTTACATAGACTGCATTCTATACTTAACCATGTTACGGCTACATTACATGACACAAGAGAACCTACTGCACTACACTGTGCTGTGACTACTAAACGTGAGACGAGTAACTTTATACAGCAAAGTTACATGCCACAATGCCATTGAAATCAATTTATGGTGCACTTCCTTTTTGAAATCTATGCAATAATGGGGCGGCAGCTAGATTTGCCCGAAAGCCTCCAAGATGCCCAGGAACCATCAATCACAGCGACAACCAGAGAAACGTTGCACCCCCATGAGTAGAATTGGTGCTGCTCTGCCAACCACAGGCTGGTGCTCTGGCGCACTTGTCTCTGATTGGTTGAGTAGGCAGCTGCCTTTACGTGGCAATAAAACAGTGGCTGGGCCAGGGGTGAGCTGCAGGGGAGTGGGCAGTGTCAAGGCTACCCAGGGTATTCTGTGATTGCCAAACCAACAAATCATCTGGTGGAGGAGTGTACAATTCTACCCGTGAAACTACTGGATTGTCATAGATGCCCAATGTGTTCCTTCAGGGAAGGAAATTTGCCGTGCTTATCCAGTTTGGCCTACCTGTGGCTCCAAATTTCTGAAGCAGTCTAGTACGACACTACGTTGTACCTCAATGACAAATAGAGATAGGTAATAAATGCTGGATTTGTAAGCAACACCCATTTCCCACGAAAGAACAAAAAAAGATTGTGACCTGATAAATAAGTGATCTTGAGGCAATCAGAGCCCGAACAAAACATCAACGCTCCCAGCAACAGAAGGAAGAACCAATATAAGTGGAAGACAGAAATAATTTTCCATAAAATCAAATGTTTGGCAATGGAAAATTACATGAGATTTTCAAACACATTATCCAACAATCAGAACTCTACAAGTACTGAATCTCACAATCTTTACTCACTTTTGCAAATGATTTTTGACTGTCATACTTCAGATGCTTTGGATAAATATACAAATGATTGTTATAGGTTGTGAAGGGTTGGGAAAGCTTTGCTATACATGGAACAAATTCTTCCACTTCATGAGTAACTGTGACCTTGGAACCATTTTCAAAATGTTTCACCGGGATGTACGAGGTGTTAACACAAGCTACAAAAAACACAAAAATACCGTACACATCAGATTTGGAATTTTATGAAGACATGATCTTAGCCATAACAATAATTAGTGTTTACATTGCACCTTTAAAATGGCAAAGCATTCATAAGAGTGATATCAGACACAATTTGATACCTGGTCACACAAGGAGATATTAGGACAGGTTGTCCAAATTCTTGGCCCAAAAGGCTGCTTTTAAGGAGCATCATGAAAGGGAAGGGAAACATAAGTAGTGATAGGGACAGAATTTATGATTTTAGGGATCCAAGCAACCGAAGGTATGGCTAATAATGGTAGGATAAAGGAAACTGAGATGTGCAAAAGGCCAGAAATGTGGAGGGTGGTATGTGGTTACAGAAGCTATTGGAGGGATTTAAATGGAAGGATGAAATTGTTCAAGTAAACTTACTCAGAAAATCTGAAGCCACATTGTCGATGTTGATATCTAAGTTCCCCAAAATAACAGGAAGTTTAGACATCTTTTCTGGTCTAATTAAACAGAAAACAATTGAGGAACAGAACTTTAAATTATGTTTTAGACGAACAATACAAAAAGGCAAATGACAAAATGCAATATTACAATTCTCTCAAACCACACTATAATACAACAAATACAATTTTAAGAGATTGCAAAGAGTTGATTTCGTTACAAGTTCAAGTTCAGCAGGTAAGGGAAGGACAAATATAATGCTGGCCTTTATTTTAAAGGGAATAGTGTATGAAAGTAGGAAGGTCTTGCTAAAATTATGCAGTGCATGAGTCAGACTACAGCTGGAATACTGCGAAGAGTTTGGAGCCTCTTATCAAAGGGAAGATATACTGGCTTTGGGGGCAGTCCAGAAGAAGTGGATCCAGGTTGATCTCAGGCATGGAGGAACAGTCTTATGAAGAGATTTAGTAGGTTGGGTCTGTTCTCTTTGGAGTTAAGAAGAATAAGAGGTAACTTTACTGAAGCATACAAGTTGGTTCGGGGACCTGATAGGATATATGCAAATAAGTTGTTTCCCCCTGTGGGAGAGTCTAGGACTACAGGGCATCATCTCAGAGTAAGGGGTTGACCGGTTGGAAGAGAGATGGAAGGCGATTTTGTCTCTCACAGCGTAGTGAATCTGTGGTATTCTTGACTGCAGAGGAAAGTAGAGGCTGGATCAATAACTATATTCAAGGCCATGATGGACAGATTTTTAATGAGTAAGGGAATCACGGATTTTTGGGGAAAATGCAGCAAAGTGAAGTTGACGATTATCAGATTAGCCATGATCTCATTGTTTGGTGGAGCAGACACAATGGGTTGAATTGCCTCCCTCTGCTTTTATGTCTTTTGCTCTATCTTCCATAAAGTCAACAGTAAGAGCAAAACATGAAGGAATCACAGTGGACTGAAACCAAACAGATTTCAGAAACACTTGATTTTTTTTCACAACATTTACCAACGTAGCTTTAAGATTGGTACCAAATATAAAAGCTCACTCACTTCCTGAAGTCCAACAACAATTTTAGCAAGTCTTCATTGGAGAGCTTATTGCTATCTTGTCTGTAAAGGGCTGAGAAGCGAGCAGTCTTGTCAAGAGTTCCTTGATTATCTTTGAAGATGGGCCTAATGAATAGAAATGCTTACTGTAAATAAGAGAGCCACTGAGGAAAGACACCTGTTAACTAAAAAAATGCAATACTCAAACATTAAGAGAAAATGTCAGAAAGATGGGAATATTTTTTATCAAATAGCATTTTCTTTGTGAACCCCTACTTTATAATTTACTTACATCAATATTGTTCCGTAACAGCTACCAGCATACAAGAGTGCAACAGTCAAATGTAATATACTCCTCCACAAACTGGGGGGTGTCGCTGAACGAGAGATCTTGGAGTATAGGTTCATAGCTCATTGAAAGTGATTTCACAGGTAGACAGGATAGTGAAGAAGGCGAATGGTACATGTGCCTTTAATGGTTAGTGCATTGAGTATAGGAGTTGGGAGATCATGTTGCAGCTGTACAGGACATTAGTTAGGCTGCTTTTGGAATACTGCATTCAATTCTGGTCTCCCTGCCGTAGGAAATATATTGTGAAATTTGAAAGGGTCCAGAAAAGATTTATAAGAAGGTGGTCAGGGTTGGAGGATTTGATCTATAGGGAGAGGCTGAATAGGCTGGGGCTATTTTCCCTGGAGCATCGGAAGCTGAGGAGTGACCTTTTACAAGTTTGCAAAAACGTGAGGGGCATGGATAGGGTGAATAGCCAAAGTCTTTTCCCCAGGTTAGTGGAGTCCCCAAGGCATACGTTTAAGGTGAGAGGGGAGAGATTTAAAGAGGACCTAAGGGGCAACTTTTTCACACAGAGAGTGGTGTGTGAGCTGCCAGAGGAAGTGGTGTAGGCTGGCAGATATGAATAGGAAGGGTTTAGCGGAATATGAGCCAAATGCTAGCAAATGGGACAAGATTAATTTAGGATATCTAGTGAGCATGGACAAGTTGGATTGAAAAGTCTGTTTCTATGCTGTACATCTCTATGACCCTAAATCTGTCATATTATCATTGAAAGTTTAACAGCTTAAACTATGTGTTTATGAATCTGGATTAGCCTTAAAGGGAAAAAGATAAGAGGGACAAGAATTCAATAAAATTTCACAGTCAAAAAACAGGCCATTCAGCCCAAATGGCCTATGATGGTGTTTATGCCCATGAGCCTCTACGCACCATTCCTCATCTCACTCTGTCAGCACATCCCTTTCTCCATCTTGCACTGATGTAGATCCTTTTTAAATGTGACAACACTTTTAGCCATTCCATATTGACAGTAAATTCCATATTCTAAACACTCTCCTGGTAAAGATTCTCCTAAACCCCCACATTGGATTTATTGGCAGCTGCCCTATGTTGTTGAGTAGCACATTAGGTGACAAATTTAATTTTAAAATATCCAGTGTTGGTTACAGCAAAACCTCGTGCCACTCAATCATCTTTTCCCCGCAGCACTGTACTTTTTCCTTCCTCGGATAATGATCCAATTCTGCTTTGAGGACCACAGCTGAATCTGCCTGCCTCACACTCTCATTACAACTTGCTGCCTAAAAAGGCTTTTCCTCGCATTGCCACTATTTCTTTTGCCAACAAATTTATTATTAAAAGGTTAGTTAAAGTTTAATAAGCGAAGACTTGAGCTTGTCAGTCTCTTGGCTTAGGACTCGAGATCTTTCTGGATGATAGCGTTATTTTGAAGCTATCAAGACGTAGTTTGGAGTAGCTATTATGGGGAGCCTTAGAGCAGGGAGCAGACCTGACGATGTTTCAGAAGTGAAAGTAAAAAACACTCCCAGTAGAAATGTGGAACTGTCATCCACAAATAATAATTTGAAATCTGAGATAGATAACATTTTCGTTAACAAAGGGCAAAGGTGGGGAAATGAACTTGCTTTCTGTTGCCAAGTTCCTCCATATCCAATTTTTCCAGCATCCACATTAGTTACGTAGAATTATACAGAATGCACAGGACGTGAACGGACCACATTCTGCTTAATCAACCAACACTGAGTTTACGTTTCACCCACGCCTTTGACATAATAGCCCGAAATACCACAAGTGTCCGCACTAGCTTGTTTTAATGCAGCACACACTACAAATGCACTATTTCATTTAATAGTACATTTGGGAACTTAATTTACATTCAAACATTTGAGGATAGAACATTTTCTGAGACACCCAGTTGCTTCAATAGACTGAAGATTAGCAGCTGGAAAATCTGACTACATTGAATAAACAACACAGATTAAAAAGTGACGGCCTAGAACTATTATCACCAGACTACTGATCCTGAGACCCAGGTGATAGTGTGGGGATCTAGGTTCGAATCATGTCTTGACAGATGGTGGAATTTGAATCCAATAAATATCTGGGATTCAGAATTTAATGATGGGGCGGGGGGGAGGTGGCGGGGAGAGCGGACGCCCTCTTTACCAGTTGTAGCTGACATGTGATTCTAGACCCACCAGTAATGTGGTTGCTTCTTCACTAACCTCTGGGCTATAAGAGATGGGTAATAAATGTTGGCCCGATGGCCATGAATAAAGAAAAGAAATTCCACTGTTTCAGGCTTTAAAATCTATGAGATGATTGTATGCTGGCGATTTTGTTCCCTCTTACCTTGCAGCCCAGGCAAAAGGCATTCTGTACTGTCCAAGTCTCGCACAGGCTTGCTTGGCGTTCTTCAATACTTTCTGTGCAACCTGCAATCATGAATGATTGATCACCAAATCAACTTCCTGTGCTAAAGGACACTTGCAGAGTACAATCTATTGCTAAAATCATCATGTACTACAGTAGAGTATAGAAAGGTAGGAAATGGAGTCGGCCATTCAGTCTGTCAAGCCTGCTTCACCAGTCAATACGATTATGGCTGATAGAACACTTCAATCCCCTGAACCCTGTACGCCACTCGTAACCAGAAAGCTTTCAAGCTCCACCTTAAAAATATTCAAAGACTGAGCCTCCACAGTGGTAGAGAATTCCAAAGGTTCAAAATCCTCTGAGTAAAATAATTTTTCCTCATCTCAGACCTAAATGCACCCCCTTACTTTTGGGTTTTATACACCCCACCCAGGGGGTCATGACCCCCAGTTTGGCCATGAGCTGGAATTTTGAGTTCCCGAGTGCCAAGGCAGAGAGCCAACTGCTGCAAGGTCCCTCTCAATTGGCTACTACATTTCCTACAACAGAAACCGCGCTTGTGATAAAGCACTTCAAGACATCCCGAGATCATGAAAGGCGCTGTGCAAATGCACGTCTTTTTGAGTAGAGACAGTAGCTAAACCACTAACAGATTGCCTCGCTAGGTCTGTCGTGTCATAGTATAAAGGAAAGTGGATAATCCTTTTCTGACAGTCGTACCTTGGTTGAATCAGAACTCTTCATGTAGGGCTCTGCACACTGAGTGATACCTCCCTGCAGAACCTTCTCCACACGAGCAACGAGAAATATGTCTTGATGAGGGCATGTGACAGAAAAAATTCCCTAGGCAAAAAAAAACAAATTCAAAGGTCAATACTCCTTAAAATAGCTTTCGATTCTAAAGGTGTTGTCAATGCTGTCACGCTACTAATGTATCAAGGCAGAATAAAAATATGGGTTTGAATAATTTTTTTTTACATCTTCTGAGCGAACAACTTTATGGACAAATTAAACATATTTCTATAAATCTCTGTTGTGTTATGATTACATGATTATTCAAAACCTAGAATGTACAGCATTTTAACCTACTTGACCCAGTTGTTATTTTCAATAATTAGAAATAAACATCTATTGTGAACAGTGCTGTAAATTCTACAGGTTTTGACTGACTATATAAACATTTCTAGAAGGCACTGATTTCCAAAGGAAAGTCGATAGGTAACATTTATTCCACAAGATAGGAACACATGGGATTGGGGGTAATGTATTAGCTTGGACTCAGGATTGCTTAACACACAGAACTCAGAAATTGCTGGAAAAGCTCAGCAGGTCTGGCAGCACCTGTGAAGAAAAAATCAGAGTTAACGTTTTGGGTCAGGTGACCTTTTCTCAGAACTGATGGTAGCTGGGAAAATGTTGGTTTATATGCAGAAGATAGGGAGTGGGAGGGGGTAGGGTGTAAACGATAGTTGGGGATAGAGACCAAAGAGAAGAGCAGTTGGACAGACAAAGGAGTTGATTACGATCTGGCGAGGAGGGTGAATAGCTGCTAATGGGGACTGTTAGTGACTGACAATAGGTAGTGTGTAATGGCAGGCTATGTGATAACAAGGCCTGGTGTGTGGGGTAGGGGGCTAGGACATGGGAGAGTTTAGGCCCTGAAGTCTGAAATTTTGGCCTTTGTAGCTGGGTGGTTTGGACTTTAAAAAGAGCAGTCTGCTTACAACAGTAGAGGGTGTTGGTGAGGCCATATCTGGGTACTGTGTACATTTTTGGTCCCTGCATTTAAGAAAGAATAGACTGGTACTGGACTTCAGAAGAGATTTCACTGGACAGGTTCCTGGGATTAGGATAAAACAGGTTACACCTTTATACATTACAATTTAAAAGAATGAGGGGTGATCTAATTGAAACATACAAGACTTTGAAGGGGCTTGACAGGAAAGATGTTGTGAAGATGTCTCCACTAGTGGGAAATCTTGAATTAGGGGACATAGTTACAAACTAAGGGAACACTCATTTAAGACTGAGATGCAAAGGAAATCCTTCTTTCAGATGAAAGTGAATGTCTGGAATTCTCTACCCCAGAGAGTTGTGGAAGATTAAACACTGGAATGATTTCAAGGGAGGTTGTCAGGTTTTATTAAATATTGAGGAGCTGACACGAAAGAGGACTAGCGAACTGGGGCAGATCGGCCATGATCTTATAAAATGGCAGGGCAGGTTTGGGGGCCCTATTTCTTATGTTCATCACTCAGCAAACTGGACGTCCAGAACAATGTTATATTTGTCCATAAAACTGTTCACTTCAAAATGTTTTTAGACAGTGAGGGACCCTTCGGCCCTTCAGAAATCTTCTACTATTCAATGAGATCATGTCTGATTCCATTTACCCAGTGTCCCTTAGCATACTTGATATTAGCAAAAATATCTCATGTAACGTGCAGCAGTTCAGAATCCTTTGACTCAACTTGTATGTTCGCTCATTGAAGTTATCTGCTTCCCAGAATGGATCACTATCTCTGTCTCTCCTGTGGGGAGGTCAACTATATCCAGTCCATTACATCCACCATTCACTTTCTCCTCTGTTTCCCTCTTCGAGATGTTCCATTGATCTCCCCCAGCAGGCTAATAACTGTTTCTACCTGCTGTCGGCTCTCATGGCTTCACCACGTTATAGTGACTTTCTTTGATGGGAGGCACTCATTTGCTGTGAGCGGGAGTTACATTTTAAAAATTTTGCAGCATTCCTTCAACTTCAAAGAAGATCTATTCCCACATCAATTTAAAGGAACTGCTCCTTAAGCCACGGAAAAGAAAACTTCTCAAGTCGGAGGTGGGATATAGTGGCACAAGGAGCTTCCATTCTCACCTGTTTGGGATACTGTAACAGACTCTCAGGAATGCCATTGATGTACTTCTGCGAGGTGGTTAAAGTATCCCCGCCATTCATAATGGATGTCGAGTTTGAAAACATGTGTCGAACTGATGCGTGATTTAGATCAACGTGGAAGTCAGCCGAGATCTTTCGACTATTTTTGATATCAAATAGTGCCAGGGTGACAAAGAAAGGCTCCACCTAAAACATTATAAAGAAAATATGATCTGTACAACATTGCGCAGGTGTTGCAGCATGGAAACAACCCATTTGGACCAACTTGTCTGCGTTGACATTTATGTTCCACATAAGCCTCCTGCCAGCTTACTTTGTCTCACCCTATTAGCATATCCTTCTACTCCTTTCTCCCTGATATGGTTATCCAGCATCCCCTTAGAAGTGTCTACACTAATCAGCTTAGCTACTCCTAAAGTAGTGAGCTCCACATTCTCACCATTCTCTGAATAAAGAACTTTATCTTGAATTCTGATGTGATATTAACAGTTCCTAGCTTTAGTCTGCCTCAAGTGGAAATATTTTCTCTACATCTACCCATTAAGCCCCTTCATAATTATGAAGGTCTTAATCTCTGCTTTCTCGAGAAGAATGCATGGGACTGTTGATAGTTGGGATCCCTCGGGTCTGCCATGAATCTAATGAGAATCTTTTTTCTCGTTGCACCTTCTCCCTGGCTGTCTACCCATTTTATGACATGGAGACCATTGAACTTACATTGGTCGTAGGTCCCTCTTCATTTTCAGCCACACAGCTTTGCAAATTGAAGGACAAATCATTGCATTTCACCAGAAACCGCTTTCCAAATTTCTCCTCGAATGGCTTCACATCTGGTTCAATATTCGAGAAGTCGAGTTTCTTCAATTGAAGGAGAAAGAAAATTAGTCAAACGATTGTTGTGATCCGAATGCGCTGCCTGAAAGGGCAAAGGAAGCTGATTCAGTGCTAACTTTCAAAAAGGATTGGACAAGGAGAAATGTGCCTGGCAACGTGGAAAGAGCAGGTGAGCAGGAATAAATGGCTAACTCAAAATTTTAACAGCATGTAAATGTACAATGGGCTGAAGAGTCTCCTTTGACGTATAATTCTGTTAACATCTTACATATCAGTTTCAATCAATTTTGCCAACTCTCCAATTATTTATATGCAGGCATGTTGAGGTATTACAGACTAGTTAAATTCTGCCATGCAGAATTATAATAATTCGACTGCAATACATGAATTCACGCAAGGCATAACCTGTGCTAACCACATCTTCATGCTGACACCAATTACCTTGAACATCGAGATTTTAGAAACTCTCAGTATTTAAATTAATTCCTCCAATTATTGGACTGGTTTCATGATGAGAGGATTGCCTGACCTGAGAGATAGAATATACGAAGCTTATGTACCCTGGAGATGGCAAGAACCAGAGGTGATATCATTGATACACGTAAAATTCTTAAGGCGCTTGGCATGCTAACCGCTGGGAAAAATGTTTGGGAATCGGGAACACCAGGTCACAGTCGCTGGTAAGGGTTAGGGCTGAGAGAAGAGAAATCTTTTCAGTCAGCGAATCTTTGGAAGGCTCTGCCTCAGACAGCAGTAGATGCTCTCTTCTTGAAGACAGAGATCAACGTATTTTCATACGCAGGGAATTAAGGGACATTGGGATAGAGTCCGATTGAGGGAGAAGATCAGCCGAGATCTTACTAAATGCTTCTGAAGTCTCTCAGGATTAAATAGGCTACTCCTGCTCCTATTTATTTTGTTCTGTGTTCTCATGATATAGACATCATCCGCCAGACTGGCATTCATCGTCCATCTCTAGCTACCCTGAAGAGTTGGTAGTGAGCCACTGGTAATGGATGTAGTAGGTCCAAATGGCTTGTCAAGCCCCTTAGATGACTGGGAGACTCAATCAACTCACTGTGGGACTGGAGTCACATATGGGCCCTCACCACATAGAGGCTGCAGGTTTCCTTTTCCAAAAGACATTAATTAAGCAGTCCAGGATTGTCCAATATTCTGGCAGCTTCACGGTCACTTTAATTGATCCCAGCTTATTTTCTCCCAGATTTTGTTCTGAAAACATTGACTCACATTCTTCCACAACAATGGTGGGATTTGCACATGTGTTTCCTGGATTAGTGGTCAAAGACTCCAGATTACTCATTAAGACCGAAGCTCCATCTGAACTCTGCATCTACAGCAATGTCCTTAGTTCTTAACCATCCTCTGACATGGCAAGCTTTAGTTCAGGGGCAATTAGGGATTGGCAACAAAAGCCAGCCTTGCCAACAACACCCGAAGCCCACAGAAAGAAATTAAAAACCACTGATTTAAGACAAACGGTGAAGGATCCAATGGCAAGATGAGAATAATCTTTTTAATTCAGCAAAAGGTTGCAATCTGCAATGCAATGCCTAAGAGTGTGGCGTAAGCAGATGCAGTTGCGGATTTCAATAGGGAATTAGATAGTTACCTAAAGAAAAATATTTGCAGGGCTACAGAGGAAAAGTCAGACAAATGGGTCTGGGTGAGCTGCTCTTGCAAAGAGCCAGAATGGACCTGACGGGCTGAATGTCCTCATGTACTGTCATAATTCTATGACCTATTCAACTTATGTCCCCCAGATGCCTGCTCCCTTTGCTGAAAGCACAGGTCCTCTGTCAAAAACACCAGTGAAATGTCAGGTGTAGCTTACTTTGATGAATGTCTAAATCAAATCCAACCTCACCTGTGTATCTGCATCCAAAACAAAAAGTTTTAATCTCCCTTCATTCTTCTTAGTTTCTATATCTCTTGTGCTCTGTGAAGGAAACAGACTGTAAATATTCTGCCTTTGCCCTGAGAAAAATGAATATTGCAAACCTAAAATAATAGAAACTGACGAAGCTGTGAACAGTTGATCAGGGCCTGAAAGTAAAAGATAGGTTTCCAACTCAGGCATAAAACCTCCATTTACGTAGTGCAGTTCTTGTCGTCGTTCGTTGTTTTCACATTACTCCATGGTCTTACCCTGTCCTCTGTCTGTCATCACCTCCAGCCCTACAGATCTCTGAGATCCCTGCCCTACTCTACTTCTGGCCTCTTGACTGTCCCTCAATCTGCACTGTTCCACTCAACTGCCTGGCTGAGTTCCAAATTCTGGAAATAATTCCCCAAACATTTCTCCCATCCTTGAAGACACTCCATAAAACTCTAACCCCTTTCACCAGGTTTCTCATCACTCGTCCCAAGAGACCTTTTTTGTGGATTGGAGTCAAACTTGGTTTGATAATTGCTCCTGCAGGTTGAACTTGAACATCTAGAGGTACGAACACTATCTGGGCACCCTGAAGCACTGTTAACTGTATGTTAATTAAGTTGTTAAGACACAAAGGTGAAGGCTCTTTTTAAGTTAGTTATACCTGCAGAGTACTTAACTTTTCATGGCCAGTGGACACCATGGGTCCTGGGGTGCATTACACCCCACATCAATGATATTTTAACTTAATCCCCTAGTTTTCTTTTATGATACACTGACCCCACTAAGATGAGTCTTTAATGACTTTTGAAAATAGTTTTAGTTTTCGTAAAAAAGAGTAATTACAAATGCTGTGACAATGGGTTAGTAGGTAGGAAGCAAACGTAGATAATGCTGCATTCTGTGAATACACCCATTATGAAGAAAAGTATTGGTGTCTGATGTCATATCTCATCAACAGCTTGGAACCAATTAAACGTAACAAGTGTCACAGCATCCCTACACCCCTCTCACTTTTAATCATCATTTCTAAACGCTCGCTTTCCCACCCCTGGCCTGTGAAAGATTACTAACTCTTCAGAATCCATTTCACCTGAGGCAGAAGATTCCAGATCAAAGACACCCTCAGAGATCTGGGCACAAAAATCTTCACTGATTCAAGTTCTGCACTGTCAGAGGTGCTGTCATCTGGGGGAGACGGTGAATAAAACAGTGAATACAGATGCCGCTGATTAGGAGGTCAGCTCCTGCAAGACTGTGTCATCAGTTTTGCTGCTGGGAAATGTGGGGTCAGGACCCTATTTGGTCCTGTTTTTGGGGCCCTGAAACCGGTGGGAAGATTCAGCTCATTGTATACATCACATCCATATTTCCCCTCAGTCTCCCAAACCCTTTCAGTGGCAGAGAAAGAAAAAAAAAAGATTTTTCCCCGATATAACACAGTGTGGAGCTGGAGGAGAACAGCAGGCCAGGCAGCACCAGAGGAGCAGGAAAGTTGATGTTTCGGGTCGGCACCCTGTTTCAGATTTCTAAAGAAGGGTCCCGACCTGAAACGTCAGCTTTCCTGCTCCTCTGATGCTGCCTGGCCTGCTGTGTTCCTCCAGCTCCACACTGTATTATCTCTGACTCCAGCATCAGCAGTTCTTACTATCCCTTTGAGTGAGACTCTTCCCTGATACAGTTATTGCCTTACAACTGCTGCTGGAGTAACTAGCCTGGATAATATTACATTTGTCTCCGTTCACAAGTAAAGCTGGAGTGAAAACCTAAATAGATTAACTGGCTGACCGCAACATTAGCTACAGAAATCATTTTTTTCGTGGTACCTTAAGAAAAATAAACCTTTGCAAAATACTTGGGATTATGTAACCACGGTTACCACTCCCCAACATTATTTTCTTATAAAGTCCAAGGGATAGGGCAGATTGTGCAGGAGGCCGCGGAAGGAGATGATCTCACTTGTTAAACAAAAACAAAGTTGCTGGACAAGCTCAGCAGGTCTGGCAGCATCTGTGAAGGAAAAAAAAGAGTTAACGTTTCAGGTCCGGTGACCCTTCCTCAGAACAGATGCTTTCCTTCACAGATGCTGAGCTTTTCCAGCAACTTCTGTTTTTGTTCCTGATTTACAGCATCCGCAGTTCTTTCAGTTTTTATCTCACTTGTTAAATGGGTTTTCCACTTTGGATACTGATGAGCGTGATCGATCGACAGGGAGATGCAGTCAGAGCCAAGGCAGTGGCACCATGGGTAGCTGAACTGCACAGGAGGGAAGAAGTAGAGTGGACAAGCAGTACTGATTGGGGAACAGTCAGACAATTCTACGGTTGGTGGTCTGACCAACAGCATGGTCTGTCGCCTTCCTGGTCCAGAGACAAAGGTGTAACAAGCTGGCAAATATATCTGGATAGCACGGGCGGCCAGAGATCTTGGTCCATGTTGATGATAACATGAAAAGGAGCTTTCAGGGATTGAGGAAAGAGATTGAAAAGCAGGACTTTCTAAGCAGTAATCTCAGGATTATTCCTAGCCCTGCGTGCCAGTGAGCACAGACATTGAAAAATTGAACACGAGGCTGGAAAACTGGTGCAGGATGAAAAGCATCAGACTCTGCAGCATTGGGATCAGTTTTAGGGCCAGTGGCACCTGTACAAGATGGACACTTTGGCAGGACTGGGACTAAATTCCACGTGGGGACATTTGCTCACGCAGTTGGGGAGAGTTTAAATTAGATTGACAGGGAGGTGGGAACCTAAGACATAGCTCAGGTTCAAGGGAAGCAAAACTCGTGACTGAACGTAGAACAGCAGAAAGTAAAAATGGAAGCATCGGCAAGCATCAGTGGGCTGAAAATGGAAAATAATGTCAAAAGGCCTGAGAAACACTCTCTCCGAACGCACACAGCATTTACAAAAAGGGTGGCGATTTGAAAGCCAAAGTACAAGTAAATGGATCTGATTTAATTGCACTACAGAGATGTGGCTACAGGGTAACTGAGCTTGCGAACTGATTATCCAAAATTATTATACATTTAGCAGGTATGGGCAAAATGACAAGGTGGTGGGCAGCACTCAAGGGATGACATCAGTATCTCAACAAGTGAGTATCTTAGATCAAAGGACCAAGATGCAAAATCAGACTGTGTGGAGCTAAGAAATATCAAGGAGAAGTAAATGGTGGTGGGAGTTGTTGACAGACCACCAAACAGTAGTGGTAGCATTTAAAGAAATACTACGAGTCCCACAACAGGTATACATCCCTCTATGCACAAATACACAAAAGGTTGAATCAGCCATGGTTTTTGCAAGGAGTTGACGATTGCATTAGACCAAAGGAAGTGGCTTATAAGCTTGCCAGCAATAATGATAAACATGAGGACTGGGAGCAATCTAGAACCCAGCAAAGAAGGATCAAGAAAGTGAAAAGGAAAAGGAAAACAGAATATGAGCAAGCTAGCTACAACTTTAAAAGATGGCAGTTCAGGTTTTATTGACAGATGAAAGGGAGAAGATTAGCAAGGACAAATGTGAACCCGTTATAAGTGGGGGCCGGAAAATGTACATTGGAGAACAGGGAAACAGTAGAAAAATTAACAAGTTACTTTGCATCTGGCTTCACAGAAGAAGATAATCTCCTAACATACTAGGTGACTTGATATAACTGAGGAGTTAAAAGATACCTATATTAGTGAAAAGGTAGTATTTGAAAAACTAGCTGGGATTGAGGGTTGATATATCTCCTGGATGAGATAAACTTCATCCCAGAGTGTTGAAGGACACTCGTTATAGAGATAGTGATTCACTGGTAGTTATCTTAATAGATTCTGTAAAAGCAGCTGCTGATTGGAAGGTAGCAAATGTTACTCAACTACTTAATAATACAGGAAAAGGGAGAATGGAAAACTTCAGAGCAGTCTGCTTGACACCAACAGTTGAAAAGCTATGATCTGTTCTAAAGACTGAAATAACGGAACATGGATTTAGAGCAGAATCATAAAACTGAGCAGTCAACATGGATTTCTGAAAGGGAAAGCATGCTTGACAAACTTGCTGGAAGTTTTTTTTTGAGAATGCAAGTTGTAGTACAGACAAAAGAAAACAAGTGGATGTGATGTATTTGCAATTTCAGAAGACTCTTGCTTCTAAAGTCCCACAAGGGAGTTAAAATTAAAATTTTTGTTTTAATTTGGAGGAGAGAATAGTGGTATGGATTGAGAATTAATTAAATGACAGAAAGCAAATTGTAGAAATAAAAAGATCATTCTCACGATGGCAAGCTATTACTATGGAGATACTGCAAGGATCAGTGCTGGATTAACAACTCCTCACAAGCTATGTAAATGATTTGAACCTGGGGACCAGCTGTATTCATTCCAAATTTGCTGGAGACACCAAACTGGGTGGAAAATTGCAAGGAGAATGCAGGAAGGCTTCAGAAGGATTTGGACAAGGTAAGTGAATGGGCTAGAACTCGGCAGATGGAATACAATATGAATAAGTATGAAGTTTTTCATTTTGGTACGAAAACAGAAAGCAAGTGTCCAAGGGACCTGAGTGTCTTTGTCCAAAGTCACCAAAAGCTAGGAATTAGGAAGGTGAATGGTCTGCTGGCTTTCATCACAAGGGGATTTGAATAAAGGAGTAAAAACATCTTGCTGCAGTGGTATAGAGCCTCAGTAAGACCTCACTTAAAGTACTGCATAGAGTTTTGATCTGCTTATCTAAGAAATAATGTACTTTTCATTGAGGGAGGGCAACAGAGATTCACCAGATAAATCCCTGGGATGGTGGGCTTGTCTTCTGAGGAGAGGTGAGGAAAGCCAGTCTGTAGTCTCTAGAGTTCTGAAGCAAGAGAGGTTTCTCATTGAAACCTTTATAATTCTAACAGGGCATGAGAGGGTGCATGTGGATACGATATTTTCCTGGGCTGGGAAAGCTCAGCAGGTCTGGCAGCATCTGTGAAGAAAAAAATCAGAGTTAACGTTTCGGGTCAG